TGTTTGTTTGTTTGTTTGTTTGTTTGTTTTGGATACATTCGCGTCACTCAGATCCACCTTCACCTGCAAAACCAGCAGCTTACCAAAAGTAAATGCTGTTATTTGTAGACTGGGTTACTGGTCTCTGTTGACTTGTATTAAACACAAACCAGTCGAAGTCGAACAGGACGTTGTTCGATTAGCAGAACCGGATCCAAACCCATAAAGCAATAATCCCCAGAGTAAACACAGATAATCCAGAGTTTAGGTCCAGATCTGATTGATCATTATTTAACAGGTGCGCCTGAACTCCTCCTGACCTCACGGGCAAATTTTATTTTCAGTTTTTGTTTTTAGTTCCTGAACCGGAGCGCGCGCGTTTCATCATCCACGGCGCGTAAAGCGGAAGTTTGTTTGTTTTTCTTTAACTTCTGTTTTGTTTGACTTCCTCGTTCCAGGAGAGCTCAGGTGAGGGGGGGACCCGGTTAAAAAAAACAAACAGCTGCAGGTRTGATTGTTGCTGTTTGTTCTTTTAACTCCGTAACGTTTGCGCCATGGCTCCGTGCGTAAAAGCGCACTTCCTCCACCTGTCCGTGTCTCCTCCCTCCTTCCTCCCTCCCCGCCCTGCTGCAACATGAACATACATAAACCATATGACTCAGTCACTTCAATGGATCCTGAGGTGGAAACCCCGCCCGTGGGCCGGCCCACGCGCGGGCATTATATTATAGGAAGCCTCCGGTGTCTCCGGAGACAGATGTTTGTTGTGCAGGCTCCGCGCGAGACTCATCAGTGCTGACAGGACACCTGCTCAGCTGAGACAACATCTGCAGATCCTGCAGGAGGAAACAGACTTTTTATTTTTGCTTTGTTGTTTTGAGGAGGAAAACAATGAAGCTTGAAGTTTTCTCGACGCACCACTTTGCGCAGAAGCCGGTGGAGTTGTGCCTGGAAGCGGACGGGGGAGTTCCCTCTCCCCTGTCCGGGGACGAGCTGGGCTCTGACGGGGACTGCATGGCCAACAGCCCGGCACCTGTCGCGCAGAGCGGCGAGGGCGGCAAGGCGAAGCCGTACACGCGCAGACCCAAGCCCCCCTACTCCTACATCGCCCTGATCGCCATGGCCATCCGGGAGTCCGGCAGCGGCCGCCTCACGCTGGCGGAGATCAACGACTTCCTGATGAAGAAGTTCCCGTTCTTCCGCGGCAGCTACACGGGCTGGAGGAACTCCGTGCGCCACAACCTGTCCCTCAACGACTGCTTCCTCAAGGTCCTGCGGGACCCGTCCCGGCCCTGGGGCAAGGACAACTACTGGATGCTGAACCCGCACAGCGAGTACACCTTCGCGGACGGGGTCTTCCGCCGCCGGAGGAAGCGCATCGCCAAGAGGACCCCCAAGGAGGAGCGGGGAAGCCCGGACATCCTGAGCGAGGACGCGCGCCTGTCCGCGCCGGAGGTCAAGTTCTCCAGCTCCTTCGCCATCGACAGCATCCTCAGCACCCCGTTCCGGCGGAGGGAGGACAGGGAGCCCGCGGAGAGCCCCGGACCCCGGGTCTACTGGTCCCCGGGGGCGCACGTGCTGCCCTACGCTCTGAACTACCCGCTGCAGCGCGCGATCGTGTCCGAGGCGTCCTGCGGCTGCACGGAGCCCGGCGCGAGTTCTTACCTGCAGCCGGGCATGGTCGCACCTGAGCCCGCCTTCAAGGTGCCCGGCAGGGCGCGGGACTTCCACATAGACTCCCTGCTGTCCTGAGACCCCCTGACCCCCCAATCCTCAGACATCCAGGCTGCTGATCTCAGACCCGTGATGTCCTCAGACCCCCGGACTGGTGTGGCACGCGCGTGTTTTGTGCACTTTTCCTCGTTTCTCTGTGGCTCTGAGCTTAAAGTGGGAAAAACAAACATTCAGAAAAACCATATTAATGTGCATTCCTGTGTGTGTGTGTGTGTGTGTGTGTGTGTGTGTGTGTGGCAGACATCACATTTGTGTCTTGTCTCCTTGTAACCGTGCGTTCCTGTGTGTGTGTGTGTGTGTGTGTGTGTGTGTGTGTGTGTGTGTGTGTGTGT